CCACCCTCTTCCCATTTTGCAGGATCCAGGCCCAGTTCTAGGGCTGGCCAAACACAAATTCCTCCTGTCGACTTTCGAGCTTCTACAAACACATACAGAGTGCCCCTCGCCAACTCTATGGCCCAAACACCTAATAGGCGACCAAGCACAGGAAAGTCCCTCAAAAGCACTGTTAATGAGCACAGAAGTATATCTGGCACTTATCCTGGAATTGCTATATCGCCTAATTCAAGCATTGCTGCTCAACAATCTTCGAGTCCTGCCAAACTAAGCCTCAAGCAACCAGTGCTCAAGACCGGGAGTAAATCGGTTGCCGCTCGACCACTGAAATCCCGCGCTTCTATTAATGGCCTCTTTCGGAAGCCTTCAATACCAGTTTTGGACCAATCGAGGGACATTGACAGGATCGGTTTCGCTTCCAAGAAGAAATCTCCAACCTTCTCAAATACCTCATCAGAAGGGGCATCGACGACATCAATGGCATCAATGGCAACTACAGGGACATCGGTGTCGCCTGAAAATCAAGAAACGACTCCAAGGAAGTCTTCAATGGCTCTTCGTGACCAGATTGCAAAAGCCAAAGCCGCAAAGCGAGCAGCATTATCAAAACAATCTGCAAATAGTGGTGTTAGTGAAGGGAATGAGGTTCCCGTGATTGCGACTGGCACATTTGACTTCGGGTTATCGGATGACCCTTTCAATCAGCAAGCCGGTCAAGGTGGAGCCAAAGGGTTGCTTCGTAAACGCATTAGTGCTGCCCGATCTGATGGCCGACTAAATATTGCTGCCATGGGGTTCAAGGAGATTCCAGAAGATGTCCTGAATATGTACAATCTTGAGGCCATTGGTACTCAGGATGGGTCTTGGGCCGAAGCAGTTGATCTCACGAGATTTGTTGCGGCCGATAACGAACTTGAATTAATTTCAGACGAGGTGTTTCCTGATGTTGACCCTCGCGAGAGTGCGGATGATGAGGACATGAAAGGAAATCAATTTGGAGGTCTAGAAACCTTAGACTTGCATGGGAATGTGCTAATAGCGTTGCCTATTGGGTTGAGAAGACTGGAACTTCTCACAACGCTGAACCTCGTAAGTCGCTCCTTCAAAGCAAGACTGTGTTTACTAACATGTGGTAGTCTAACAATAAGCTTGGAAACGATTGCTTTGAAGTCGTGTCGCAACTTACAAACCTGCGTGACTTGAAAATGGGGGGGAATGAATTATCTGGCGTTTTGGACTCACGCATATCAAGTCTTCAGAACCTAGAGGCTTTAGACCTTCACCAAAATTCCCTTACTTCATTACCAGAAGGCTTGGCTGATCTAACCCGCTTACGGGTTTTCAACGTGACACAAAACACTTTAACTTCGTTATCGTTCGAAGTTCTTTATCACCTGCCTCTCATTGAGCTATTCGCGGCCAAGAACAAACTTTCTGGTACACTATTCCCTAGCGAAGTTGAAGAACTTCCTAATCTCCAAATCTTGGATGTTACGAGCAATGCCCTCGTTCGGCTTACCGACTCAGATATTCTAAGACTTCCTTCTCTTCACCAATTAAGCTGTTCGTGCAACAGACTTACCAGCTTGCCGGATGTGTCGACATGGGTTTCACTTCTCACCATTGCTGCGGAGGATAACAATATTTCCTCGATCCCAGAAGGGTTTGTCTCCTTGCCAAAAATTAAGAATGTTGACTTCAATGGCAATGGGATCAAGATTTTGGAAGATCAAATTGGTGGTATGAACAGTCTGGATATATTCCGCATCAGTGGCAACCCGCTACGGGAGAAGAAATTTGCTGGTATGACAACTGATGATCTGAAGCGTGCTTTGAAAGCACGAATGGCACCTCCAGATCAGCCAGCAGATAAGGAGACGGAGGAAGGGGCGTTCTTTTCTGCTCCAAATTCGCCCATGTCGCCATCACGTCCAACATCATCAGACTGGCCTGTCAAAGCAGGTGGCGTCTTGGATCGCAGTAACACACAATCCCATTCTCTCAACCCTGTCGCAGCAGCTACAGTTGCGAACAACAACTCTATCAAAGCACTAGAACTACACCATAATAAATTCAAGGAGATTCCAACCTCGATTGCGTTCTTCGCGGCAACACTCACAACTTTGAGTCTTTCACACAACGAGCTAAATAGCGACACGTTCATGAAAGATGATCTAGAACTACCTGTATTAAAAGAACTCAACTTGAGCTCAAACACATTCAATTCCCTGCAGCCTTTAATAATCCATTTACACGCCCCATTGCTGGAGAAACTTGATATCAGTTTCAACAGATTAACCTCGTTGCCGATTCTCCGAACTCATTTCCCGAGCCTAACTTCGCTTTTCGCTTCACATAATACCATAAGAGAGCTATCCCCAGAAGCTGTTAAAGGTCTGAGGAATGTCGACTGCAGCAGCAATGACCTCAACAGCCTCAATGCTCGTATCGGCCTTCTTGGTGGTCCTGGTGGTCTCGAGAGGTTGGAAGTAAGTGGGAATCGATTTCGAGTACCTAAGTACACAATTTTAGAGAAGGGGACCGAGGCTACGCTTGCCTGGCTGAGGGACAGGATTCCCGCCGGCGAGATAACCCCTACCGATGTCGATTAATGTTTGAGATTTTGAAGAGTTTACTTGTTCCTGGAGTCCTTGGTGGGTGACGTTGGGAGTCAATAGGTAGATGTTGGACGGTTATGGGTAATGTATATTTAATAAACACTGCTCAATCAGTAGTGATAGAAACCTAGTAAATAATTAATCAAGATGCCCTTTTGAGAACCTAAACTTTGCATTGCTCAGAAGAAATCACTTCGGAGATGAACCCACGTGACTTTCACAGTACCGAGGTCAATTTCACATGCCCATTGGAGGTTGAATAATGCCCAAGTGAGTTGTCCGCCAGCAGAAAAAGGAGCCCAGTTTACAAAACGGTGACAATAACATATTCCATGTCACGATAAAGGTAAACTACGATGGCTTCGACCTCAGACGAAGGGCCAAAGCCAATACGCGATCGTGTTTCCGCGAAATCGACTGCAGATCCAATTCTACGTAACGCGTTGCGATACACGATATCCTCGAAAGAGTACGAAACCCTTCACAAGTACATAATATCGCGTTCAAAGGTTCTCAGGAGGAATGCGCCAACAGTTGCTAAAGTTGAGAAGCTGGTTGAGCGACCTGGGCGCGACGATTATAATGCTGCTGCTGTGAGAGCTAGTTTGAGGGTCTTCTTTGCGACTGGAGCTGCGTTGAAGGCTTGGGGAGCTATTAAAGACCGACTTCTGGGAGCACAGAAACAGCAGTATGTACACTTGAATCAGAAAGCCGTGCCACGTAAAGCTAAAACTCTTTTTCAGTGGTAAGAGGATACCGTTATGGAAATCCCCTAATCTTCGACTATCCCTCTCCCTCTCTACAATCCTCCTCCTCCACAGGATTCTCTTCCGCTTCTTTACTCGACTCCGAGCCCATCTCCTAACGCCAGAGGCTCGGCCTTTCCGCCAAAGGAATAAAAAAACGAGCCGGACTCTCACATCTAGCCTCGCACCTGCAATTGGAGCTAGCCTGGCTGGGTTTATGTTAGCCGTATATCCAAATGATCAGCTTCGAGTCACGATATCAATATATGCTTTGAGTCGAGCAGCAGAATTTGCATACAATCATGCAGAGGATGAAGGCTGGATCTGGGGCAAGGAAGGCAGCAGGTGGGAACGGCCATGGTGGTGGGGTTCTTGGCTACTATACCCATTAACCTGTGGCCAATTGCTGCATGCATTTGTCTTTGATCGAGACTGTTTCCCAACTGTTTGTACTTTTCCAATGGAACTGAAAGCGTAGTATTTCTAACAACTCTTGCAGGCATATGGAAACTTCATTCTCAAATACTCTCCAGAATATATTCAGGACCGACCAGAAGATTACCCAGCAAGTCTCTCATGGCCGAGCACTAACAAAATTGTCGATAACCTTGCCGAGATCGCTCGTCTCAACTACCCACCATTCGTATCGCCCATCCTCTTTCCAAACACGACTACTCTACCAGCATCCCTTAACAGCATCTCACCCATCACATCGGCCGCACACCCACTAATAACATCCCTCACCTGCGCCATCTTGCATCCCTCTGACCCCTCATGCCTTCGAACGTATCTAACATACTGGATCCGTGTCTTTCCCCGACTCACTCGCTTCTTTACAGCTGTATTTGTTGTTCTCTCTCTTCCCTCCTACAAAACCTTCTATAGGGCCCCTATCACAACTCTTAATAAACTAGCCTCTCGAGTACTCCTTTATTCCTCCTTCGTCGCAGGCTCTATTGGCACTTCCTGGGGCGCAATCTGCTTATTCCAACAACTTCTCCCCAGGCATCTACTTGCCACCCAACGGTACTTCTTCGGTGGTGTGCTTGGTGGTCTCTGGGGCTTTATCGTCCGGAGAAATGCCCGAGGAGAATTCCTCTACAGTGCACGAACAAGTCTAGATAGTCTCTGGAAAGTAGGCCGGAAACGCGGATGGTGGAGGGGGATCAGAGGTGGCGATGTATGGCTGTTCGTGGTCAGTTTGATGGTTATTAATGTTGTTTATGAACGAGATGCCCGGGCAATTAAAAGTGGGGTTGTTAGAAGAGGATTTAGTAGTCTACGAGGTGAAGGATTAAGAGATGTGGTTGTGGAAGAGGAGAAAAGGATTAAGGATGAGAAGGCGAGGGAATAGGACGATGTTATGATTATGATGATGAAGTGTATGATCAGGGTGTTGCTACGATATTGTTATTATTAGTGACTAATACTTTTGCATTTAATGAACTATATCCTTGTACCATTTTTTCTTGCTAAGCTCTTCGTTGAATAACTCAACATGTCCAGACTCAACTTTAACCCGTGTCGTCCCCCTCCCACCTAACTTATCCCTAACCACCCCTGCCTCTTCTTTCAGTCAACTCATATAGAACATCCAATAAGCAAAATTCCATAAATTGTATACAATGTAACCAATGGGAGTGTGGCCGAGTGGTTATGGCGCGTGACTCAAGTATGATCTTTGTATCAACTTACAGAAGGCTTTAAAATCTTCTGGATTTCTCGTAGGGAAACCTGCAGGGGTTCGAATCCCCTCGCTCTCATAAAATTTTTAACTCTTTTGCTTCTACAAATACAAATTTTTTTTTACCAAAAAAAATTTATTTCCCAATTTCTCTTTGCCTTTTTGAAGCTGTGGTGTGAAGAAAACATGAACGCTTGGAGGTATTGTTGACAGTGGGACCGGGCAGAGATTTTTTCTTAGCGAGATCTGATAGGGAAAGGGTGGAGTGTTTGGGTCGGGGTGGAGGAAATGAATGCCGAGGATAAAAAGCCTCTGGTTGGATTCAGTAAACAACAGCAGGTACACTCCAGACATGTCTATATCGCTCGCCTGCTTATGCTGTGTCCCCCTAACACAAGTAAAAGAGTCACAGCTAGGTATAATTCAGAGACAACATTAAAACATTGAAAATTTAGCGAGCAAACTACACACTGTCCTTCCAAATATCAAAAATAGCTAAATACCACCTGCTTTATCACAACACTTAAATCACCCACTTGAAGAGAAAAATGCAAAAAGGAAAGAATGTAAGATAATTCTTATAATCACGTGACCCACGCAGGGGTCGAACCTGCAATCTTTTGATAAACTTATGAAGTCGAAGTCAAACGCCTTGCCATTGGGCCAGTAGGCCGTGTTTATTTTGCTTGATATGCTTACAAAGCCGCCTGTTTAGCATTATATATGGTTTTGTGACAGGTGCAAATTGAGAGGAAGGCTTGCAGAAAATAGTGGAGTGCGCCGGGGAAAAGTCGGTTGAGCAAGATTTGTTTGCCGAGACCCCTTGAATTACCGAGTAGGGGTTAAGAACCGACTTAAGGGAATGTGAGAGATTGGACTAAATGAAAGTCAAATGCGTGGATTGTTGTTGTATTCAGCAACATCACTGGTGTTGCGGCAGCGCAGTCAAGGAATATTTCTGTCACAACGCTTACCGCCTCTCTTTCCTCTGTTGTCCTACTTAGCACCCAATGACCCCACCCCTTATTTTTCGAGATGTCAAAACCTGCTTCACTGCTTGAACATCTTGGAGGATCCTATTGCCACTCAAGTCGTAGTGAATTTTCTAGAAAGTGAGCCTCAATGAAATAGTGGGCAAAGCCCAAAGCTATGGCTGCTGGATAGCGTAAGGTAATTGTAATTGTAATTGTGATGTAATCATGACTGCGGTAGTGATTTGAGACTTAAACAAGAGCTTAAATACTAACTTGAATTCTGGTATAGTTCTGAAATAAGCCACGTCAGCTCACGCTCTAGATTGTAAATTTCTGGCGTTGTTCCTGTTGTCAAGACAAGCAAAATTCCCGGTTGACTTCCCCCCCCCCCCCCCAAAATTTCCCTTTCTATTTAAATGCCAAGTTATTAGAGATCCCCATTACTACTATATTTGAAGGTCTTTCACCTCACGTACCAAGGAAGCTACTTGTTTCTATGGTTTACATGTGGTGCATGATGCTGTTTTCGGGGTAATTCTCTCCCAATAATTAACTAGCTTTGATTATTGTCGATTCACCAGTAATATAGAGCAAATCACGTATCGTGCGTGACGTGCTGTTTATATTTGTTGGTTGAATCGCTGATGTTTTGTGTTGTGGAAGGAGCAGGAGCTTGAATACCCCTCCATGGCTCCCGCCACACTAACCTAATCAGGACTAGTTACATCATGTGATAAGTCATGTGACTATAGCTAATTATCTGTACCAACAATTATAAACAGCAAGAAGGGACAGCAGAAGAGAAAAATTTTTAGGATAATAAGCTAATTAAATCCTATAATTTAACTATTCAGCAGTAACAATTCTCCTATCTTTCCTTGTGACCCCTATTCAAGACTTCCTCAATTTTTGATACTGAAATCCAGAAAAGATCAATAACACAGGCAGCAAATCATGTGCCAACTAGATGGATTTAATTCCAAAACTGTCTTCACACATTATTCGTAGTTATAGGATGTACTGAGTGAAGCAAATATGAGCTGTGTCAACCACTTGCTAACTTGCTTAAGGCCGCGAACTATCTCGACCAATATCCGCGATGTTAACACGAAGACCTCAACGGTATAGGGTGAAATACGCTTCATATCCTCGGATATATTAGAAAGTACGTCAAAATCGTAAGGAAATTAAAATTCCACACCATAATTGGCTCTAATTTCATCGTAATGAATCCCATCAAGTGTAGGGACATAGCTCATAATACAGAGGCTTACAGGGTCCAATATATAGCGCCTCTTAGCACTTTGATGTGTTAGAGGTGCTGTATGGTTGAAATGGAGTACCTGCATTCTTATTAATCTACTATCCTGTATGGCAAAATGATGAGTGAAAAACTTAGACCCCAAGTAGCATCACATGGTGCCCAGAACGCGCAATCAGACACATGATACCAACTTTAATACCAGAAGGAAGTAATAGACGGTTTTAACCTTGAAAATGATGTATTTCTGAGGGCTGTGACAGAACTCAGTTGCTGCTGCAGAAACCAGAAAGGGGCAAATGTGAGCCAAGAGAGTTGACGAAGTTTTTACAGATTGGGTTAAGCAGATGCTTGTAATAAGAGTTTGATTTAGCCATCATTTAATATGAAGCGATGCACCATAAAAATTCCAAGGGAATTTAAGTGCCTATAAGCTTCAAACATATAAGTTTGTACAGTTCAAAAAACTGCGAGTTACCCGAAAATTTTGTCCCCTGTCGTTTTCTGCTTCCTACCCCGTATCCCTATGGATGTAACAGCCTAAAATAATGTAAAGAACAGTTGAGAAGGAAGAGGTAGAAATTTTGAACACAATTTTAATCAATATTAATTTGTGATATTCCTAGTTGTAGCTGAGGTTGAAATTTTAATCGTGATTATAGTGAAATTAGATCTATTGATTATGGGGTAACCATTTATCTCAAGAGTCGAATCAAAACTGCGAGCAAAACCGTGACAATAATCTCAGAGGCTACAACAAGTTCTACTACCGTGCTGACAAGTAAATGGTGACGAGCAGTTATTATGTGTGCTAAAATCATAGTGCTCATATTGTCGCCCAAAATAAGACATTCGGGTATCAAATCCAAAACCGAGAGTGGAAATTGTCAGGTACGTAAAATTTGCGAAACCAACTGCAAAATACAGGAGAGCACGAAGTCGAACATATAGGGCGAGAGGTTAACCTGTAGACTGGTCCTTAGCAAAATGGCACCAGATAATACATGAATGGGGATATGAGATAGATACATACAAGACTTTATTCCTTTGGTGGAATCTTTTCCCATTGGGCAGGAAACCGGCGGCCTGTGACTTTGTCACCCTTTTTATAACGCAGAGTGCTGCCAGGTGAGAAGTAGAACCGGCCAATCTTTGATGCTTCCTCTGCCTTCTCTGACTGCTCGACTTCCTCCCATTGATTGGGAAATCGTCGTGATGTGACCTTGTACCCATTCCTGATTATTAAGGTGGTTCCACGAATGAATCTAAATTTACCGATTTTGAAAAGCTCGTCGATATTCCCCGCCTTAGTGGCCCTGACTACGTGGTTGCAGAGATAGAGTTCGGTCGTAATCCCGCCACTTTTCAATCTAGGAGTCTTGGTGGGTTCAATTCGCCTCATATTCATGTTTGCGCCACGAGCCGCTGTAGCTGCAATAGTCCTACCTTGCTTAGTGTTTTGCGCAATGGTTTTAGATGTGGAAGATTCGAGCTGGCGATCGGTAGTCAGTGCCTGGCAGCGCTGCGTTTCGGGTATGTTTGACTGAGCCATATTGTTTATAGCACCTTTTTTTTATTTTTTTATTTTCGAGGTGTAAGTAAACTAGGGACAATTTATCGGGGTTCGCTAGGAGCGTACTAAATTGACTGTCGGCGAAGGAGATCGAGGGGTTGTGTGGAATCGTTATAGAGTTGTTAATAAAGTCGCTTTGGTGGTAGTATTTAGATGAGCATTAGAGTAGAATTCGCAGGTGTGTTATTCGTACATCAAGAAGGGGAGAAAATTTTCCTGGTTGAGAAGTGTGTGCTCAGCGATATCTAAAGTATACTAATCGTAAAGAGGTAAGTCCCCATGACTTTAAAACCTACTTCCTTGTGTCCAATGAAAATCATATAGATTCTTGGTGTCATTAGATCTCTCTATAGCATAGTCCATAACTCGAAAAACTACAAAAGTGATGTTGTGTTGGAATTTCGGCTGTCATTGAAGTAGCTGTTGGAGCTGTTCTTTGGTGAAGTGGCAAGTTTAGAAGCATCTGGGATATCTTCAGCACTCTATCAATAGAAAGCAATAATGCCACCCATGAGTGCATATTTGACCCACCTGAGAAAGTTCACGTTGCAGCTTGCAGTCGCAACGGTATGAGCAAGACCAGGTATACACTGACAAGCAAACGAATACTAGCATTTGCAGAGCGTAAGCACATTCCCATTGTCCAGATTCGACACCATACCTCGACGTCAAGCTGAGTTAATGGGATCATCTGGCCCCGTCCCTGGGATGGTTGATGCTTTGATTTGAGTTCAGCTTCGAATGGGAAGCTCGGCGAGGCCAGTTCAATATTCCAAAGCACTACTATTGTTGTATGCAGTCGAAAGGAAATGCCTGGGAACTCTCTAGAACCTTAAAACTTGAATATGAAGAGTTAATGAGGTTCCTGATAGCAGCCAAACGCTGTCCTGCAATGAACACTCGCTCCTGAGGAAGGCACGCTAGTATAAGGTTGAATATACTTACTGACCACCCAACTTCCAGGCTAAAACTATGCAAAAATTGCAGGAGAAATCAGTAAGTTCCTACCGGAACTATATTGATGAGCTAACACTACCGTCAAACTTCCTTTTCCAAATCTTCGACGTAGCTGGCATTAGAAATCCTCCTTACGACAAGATACCTTGCTTCTACTATGAAGTCGAACGAAACATACTCTATCATATCTCACACCATTTGCCATCGCTCTGCAAAAGCAGTAGTTTTTCTCCTTGGTGAAGCCACTATGATTCGGACAGGGGGATCTCCTTCGTGCATCAATTACTACGTTTCGTGCACGCTAGAATGAAAGGATTCCCTATAAACTCTTTGTGGGCCAGCACAAGTAGTTCCAATGTAGGGACTACCATGCTGCACTTGTTTTTCTTATCTCTCTATGGCTCCCGCAATTTTAAGTTTTGATCTTGTTGCGTTCGAATTTATCGTGTCATTTGTGAGATTCCCTTGGTCAAGCATTTATTGGAACTGTACCCCGTTAACTGATTTGGGATTTCCTCTATCTTTCTTCTGGCTACACACTAGTTTACTCTCCTAGTATGCTTTGGAGTACTGCCTTGCAGCCAAGCAGGTTGGAGCGAGTCACTACCATGCGGGGTTGTAATAGACACCACTGTCTAGTAGCCTGGCAATGCCCTGGAGTTGTCCACTTTGTGCTATACTGAACGATAGGGAGCGGATATTTCTTAAAGAAAAAGGACTCAAGTTGAGAGGCTCAGAGTAAGAGAATCCGACAAGAGCCCCGCTTAGAGTTCCTATGCATTTGAGTGATAGGCCGGCTCTTGCACATCTTGCTCAGTCTGTGCAGATGAAAGGAGTGTAGAGACGCACTCTCTTAGAAGAGACACAAAACAAAGGCAGTTCTTATCAATATTGATAAGGTGAATGCC